CTATCAAAACAAAAACTGTACTGAGTGACTAAGAAGAAATGGAGAACTTGTCTCCAACATTGTAAATATAGTTTCTTTAAATGCTAAAACCTTCACTAAAATATGCTCCTAAAAAATAAAGCAACAAAAAAAGATGGTAAAAACATCAAAATTCTAAACACTCATAAAATGGGATACTATTTTGGTTCTGTTAGTGCAGTCATAATGAGTACATGATGCAAGAGTACTGGAATAAATATACTAAAAAGAAATCAGCACAAAAATGTTCTGAATGAAAGAGATATGTAGAGAACACAGACCAACCATAATAAACAGCATGTGCACTCTGACTTTCTGTAATAGCTCATTAGAGTGACAGTGTTTGTATTGACTAGAAAATGACACTAAATTGCTTTGATGCAAAAAAGTCCAAGAAAACATAGATATTCTCATCTGTTAAGACAACCTACTATTATTTTAGTGAGGCCTGCATTAGAGTATACTTAGTTAAAAATGATTGTTAGCCTAGATGACATTATAGAAGACTTTTGACAAGATATTTTATATGAACTTGTAATGTCTGACTTGTGTCTATCCCCAGTGCTTTCCAACAAACATACTTTTTTTAAAAAATAGAAAACACACTCAAATATGATCAATGCAAATGTAAGACCCATACTGTCTGTCCATTCTACATCATCATTCATTTCTGTAGGAGAGTGCATGAAAACAAGTTTACAAAAGTGATATTCCTAATGGTGTAGCTCCAAAAGCAGCAAAGGCATTGGTTCATTTCTGCAAAAGAAAGGAAGTCGTGATGATGTCTCTGCTCTCAGACTTGGTGTCTGGCTCCTTACATTGCATCAGCTCTGCCAAAGCCTTCTAAAAAGCTATGAAGGAGAAACAGAACGCTCCAAATTTGTACATGTAGAACATCCTGTTTGTGCTGGAAACCAACTGGGACTATAAACTTCCAGGAAGGGTATTGGTAGTGTCAGAGAGCAGCCTATAGCCTTAATGAGGGATGGGACAAAATGCCTGAAACGTAAGAGCCATCACAATAGTTTTGATAGCACAACTCTGACAGTCTGCCTTGCTTGCTGTGCACATGTGGGTATGCTAAGGGTGTAAAACCTGTTGGGAGAGTGTTATAAAAGGGAGACAAACAGGCAGCATCTCATCCACACTGCCATAAACAATCCCAAAACTATTCCAAAGCTACCTCTGAGTTTTATCTCAGAGACAGTTAGTCCATTCACTCCAGAACGCAGCCCAGAACACACAGATAAAGTGTGCATAATCAGAAAAACTGGTTTACTAAATTGACAGAGCAGACTTATTTTTGCTGGCAATTGTTCAGAGGGGTCTCTGCTTCAAGTCATTGTCCCTCTCATTAGAATGAAAACCAGATGGGCAACTTATTATTCATACTCCAAACACTATTAGTAACACACGTTTTCTACTAAACAAGCATGCAATTCTGTTATCACACATTCACTGTTAGAGAATACTGCTTGTAGCTGTTGGAGACTGAATTGTAGTCAATGTTTCAGGTTCTTCGAGAACATTAACATTCAACAAACTCTAATTAGTTTCTCTTTTAAATTACATTCCTTCGTTCCAGACTAAAGGCTAACATGCTGCTTTGATTGAAAGGTTATTTTTTTTTCTTGGCCTTTTTTGGACAAGTTGTTAAAAGCATTTTTCCTAGGGAGAAATAGATACGTTTTTATTTTGGTGGGTTTTGTTGTTCTTTTGGTTTTGTTTTTTTTCCACTTGCTCTGAGAAAGTAAAAAAATTTTGTCTTCAGCATGACTTTTTATTCCCAAAAGGAAAAAAATGCCCCCCGAATCCCACCACTTCATGGTTTTTAGTTTAATGATACAAACAGCTTCTGAAGTATAGAAGTGTAAGAAGTATAGAAGTAGCATTGCAGTTCTCTCTGCTACAGGAACTTGATATTTGATTCTAGCACTGAAATTTACATCTCAAACCAAATTACAGCATCAAGGTATATGAAATCTTTATCTCCAGAGTTAGGATTTCTCTTTTTTTCTGAAAGAGGCTTTATACCTTTCCACCTCTGTCATGACATATTTTTGTTTTAAAAGCGAGAGGCTGGAAAGTATTATTTCAAGGTAGGTTTGGAGAACATAAGTAAGTCTTTATGAATGTAATAAATATATTTAATAAGAAAGTTATCTATGAGCAATATAATAAAGCAGTATCCTAAAGTAGGCAAGACTAATATATTTACACAAAAAATAATTTCAAATAACATATTCAGATAATAAACCTAATTAAATTCCCCTAATAGTCATAAGCAATCCACCACAGCGGAAAAAATAGCTTATGGATATATTACAAAATAACCAAAAATAAATATAAACCTGAAAATTCTTCAGCCAAGTTTTCAGATACACAGTTTCTGATGGAGTAGCAAATACTTAAAATGCTATAGCTGGAAACTACAATATCAAATTTGTCCCTGTTTAACAAGATACTGTACTATGTAACATTTTGTTATTTGTGAAGAATGCATTAATCATATAGCACACACTGTAGAAGAAACTAAATGAGAAGAAATGTAGTGCACAGTTAAACTAAAATAGATGTACACATGTAGTCACTGAAGTAAAGCTCTATTAAGAAGCCCCCTCTAAGCTGCTGCAACTCAGAAGTCATAAAAATTCATGTGAATAAACTTATCTATTGAGAGAAACCCACATAAAGCCAAAAATACACATCTATACTTTGGATGTGGATTTTCCTGAAAGATCACAGAAAAGTTTACCTTAAAAAGAAATCCTGCTTTGTACCCTAATGTCTGGTCATTTCCCCTTAAACCTATGACTAAATCTTTCTGGACTCCATTTAATGCCTTAAAGGAGAAAGGACAGATAGATCCGTTGCCATTACAAAACGAATGAGAGAGAAATCTTTGTTTGGGACCCCATCTCCCACAGCCACTGCAGCAAATAGGATGCTTTTTCTATTTGAATTATCACTTTATCTGGTTTACACTTTTCTTTCACTTCAATCACTCCATAAAGCACATTAAAACACATTTAAAAATAAACTGCCTCAGCAAATATTCAGCTAAAATTTGACATAACATCAAAGTAACTGCAAAAATATTTACAATATTTATGACTTCTGGAAAGAATCTTCCAATCCTTTAACACTTAGTAAAGTGACTGGGCACTGCAGTATATCTTCTATATCAATAAATGATTCAGAAACAGATGGTATAAGTTCCATAAACATTTCACACACAAAAAAAAAAGCCATGCCAATGTTTTCCTTTATATGGAAAAGCCAGCCTTAGGCAACCACAGATGCTAAGGTTAGCAGCATTATTTTGGAGAAAAACAATCTTTAACAAAAGTTGATTTTGTGTCATGTTTAGCATGATGGGCCAAAGGCCACCTGGCATTGTATGTGTCTGCTCAAGACAGCTGTCTGTCCCGCTCTGACTTGTAGACACTTGTACATGACATCAGGATATTTAGCTAACTGTGACCTTCATGATCACCTTGTCCATTCTCTCCCATCGCTGCCCCCATCTGAGTGCATGAGAAGCAAGAGCAGCAGTAACACTCCTCTATTCCATTGTTAACTCAGAACCCTGGACGCTGGTTTTTACTCAGGTAAGACCATCAACACTTCCTATAAACTGATGACCAATTGTATGGAAATCTGTACCATGAGGGCAGGAGGATGTAACTGAAACCTGAACTCTGAAGATAGGCAGAGGAGCTAAGGAAGTCACCAGTATTGTGAGGATGAGAACCTTGCAGGACAGGGTTCTGCCAGATCTCCAAGTCACTATATCAGTCAGGACCTGCAAGCAGCTATGACACAACATAACCATTATGTGTAACATCTCTCCTCCTAGGTAGAGCTGCAGAAGATTGAAGCCTTTCTCCCAAACTGCAGAAAGCTTCTAACGCCATTTGTACCCACAAAGCTTAAGGGTCGTACCTTCACAGACAGACATGCAGCACCCAAACCTGCATGGATACAAACTGACAGTACTTTGGGTGACAAGTTAAAAGGACAAGGGCCTCATGGATTCCCTCTAGCCTTCATGAGCCAAGACCCACTTCTGCATCTATTCCTCCCCTCCCACAGGGCCAGAGGTGGGGTCTTTGCTACGAGAGGCCATGATTAAACCAAAGAGAATATTTCCACAGGTAGGCAGCTGCTACTTTTCTGTTGTCATTGCCCTGCCTATGCCTTGACTTGGGCCCCTGAAGCTGTCTGCAACCCTGTCTCTTCCCACACCAGGTCCTGCACACTCATCCATGCATCTACAGGCTGTGACAGAAGTGGGATGCAAAAGGCCTCACACCCGTCCTTGCAGTCAAAGGTCAGCACGCTTCCTAAACTCCAAGTAAAATGGTATAATAAATTATATTCAAATATGGCCTTAAAAAGGCCACTTTGGCAAAAAGAACTTGAGCCTCTAGCAGTTCAGAAAGTCAGATAAAACACATTCCATCCGCTCACATGTACACGGAGATCGTTATAGCCAATGACAAGGGAGGAAACAGAAAGATCCCAAGTGTCACAGCTGTATAAGCATCTGGCAAGACTTCCACAGCAACAGTCCTTCACTGCTACGAGGCCTGAAGCCAAATTCCAGAAGAAAAGAGTTTCCTTTTTCCCCATAATCCCCAGGGTACCTGCCAGGGCTCACCGAGTGTTTCACAAACACCAGACATTCATTACAAACAAGTGTTCCGTGGAAGTCTAGAGGGTACACGCATGTCTCCATTCTACCCCTCTAGTTCAGGTAAACTTCAGGTAATATTAAACTCTGATCCACAAATAACATGAAATATTCATAAGAATAAAAGGTCTAGAGTAAAACACCCATTTAATAAGTTTTTTCTGGCAACTCCTATACTCAGATGAAAATGAACATTTCATGTATTAAAAATGTTATATATTTTATAGAAATTAATATTAATTTTAAATTAAACTTAAAATGTAAATCTTTTAATTTACACACTTACTGGATGTTTGGCTGAAAGTCTGCCAGTCACAGTTCCTGTCTGATTCCATGTAGAGGAAATAAATCCCTGTAATCAAGTAAAGTAAAAATCCCCCAAAGAAAAGGATGAAGACATGCATCTAAGTTTTATTTAATGTAAGTATCAGTAATAAAAACTGACTGCAATCAGGAATACAAAATCAAAAAGAAATAACTTATAATTTTACACATATAAAAGTTCTGAAACTGTAAACACTGCAATCATTTCACATCCTTTTATATATGAAATACCACATTTTATAGACTTTTTATACTTCTACCTTTCTCATGCATGTTCGTAGTCCATCCACATAAGTTGATTTCATCTTATGAACCTAAATTACATAAAAAGTTCAGAGAAATGTTTATAAAAGCAAGAAATTTTTCAAATTATAATTTTAATTTCCAAATGCATATTAACCTTTTTTGTAGATTCTTTAAAAAGACAGTTTCATCTTAGTAAATAATGGATATATACTTGACCTATTAGCATAAATGAGGTAAGTGCTCGGTTGTACCCTAAAGCCAGTTCTGTGCACATGCAAGTAAATGTACTATTGGAATTTATTTATTTATGTCTTATATTCCCAGGTCAATAAACACAACCACCCACTGGTTGTTTTTTGTTTTATTTTGTTTTTCAATCTTGGCAACTCACCCACTAAAAAGTGAAACACTATGAGTGAGAGCAGATTAACTAGGTTGGATTTTCATGGGGCTCATCATCCAAAAAAACCCATAACTATCTTCTCCAGCTTCTGCAGAGAATTTCTTCAGAATTTGAAAAATAAACGTTTAGTCTTAAGAGTGTGCTTTATAGCATAGGCACATTTAACAGTGAAGATCTCAAAATGTTTTGGCAACATAGTTCTTAGCTAGCTAGAATTTAAGAGCACAAAACAGAAGTGTAAATTTGTGTAAACATTTAAAAGCTCTTAAGAATACCCAAAACTTCAAAATTAAAAAAAATTAAATGAAGATTTCAACGAACTTATATTAGAGCAATTTAAAAAAAAAAAAAAAAAGTTAGCTGTAATTAATATCTTTCTTGTTAATTTTGCTTCATTGCAAGTACATTATTTGAGAAATAGGAACTCACCTGACGGTATTCTAAAATTATCTTAGGTAAAGGATGAAGATCTTGCAACTTATGTAGCTGCAAAATAAAGACTGTGAATTAGCATACTTCTCTGTTAAGTTATACTATTTAACAATTTTAACATGAGTTTTGAAGGAAGAAATTTTCTTCCCCAGGTGAACGGACAAAATGCTGGCTGAAGAATAATGTCCTTCAAGCATTTTCGTGCTAGGCCTAAGGAAGCCTGCAGACATAAAAATTATTCCATAACAACTTGAAAATCACTGGGGCATGAGGTGGGGGGGTTACTTATGGTCCTTTGTGCTGCACAGCATCAGTGCAAGAGAGAACATGATAAAAGCATTTCAAAGAACTGCCCAGGGCAGTGTTTGAGTCACCATCTCTGGAGGTATTTAAAAGAGATGTAGATGTGGCACTGAAACATAGTTTAGTGGTGACCTGGCAGGTAACCCCTGGCTGGGTTAATGGTTGGACTCCATCTTGAAAGTCTTTTTCAAGCTAAATGATTCTATGGTTCAATGAAAAGGAAAGGGCATCCACATTTGTCTCAAGCTGAGGGCACTGGGATTGTTCAGCCTGGACAAGACTCTGCTGGAACCTTGTAACTACCTTCCAATACCTGAAGAGAAGCTACAGGAAGGCTGGAGAGGGACTCTTCACAATAGTTCCCAGCAACAGGACAAGGGGAAATGGTTTTAAACTGAAGGAGAGTAGGTTTAGACTGGATCTTAGGAAGTTCCTCAGTATGAGGGTGGCGAGACTCTGGAATAGATTGCCCAGAGAGGTTGTGGATGGCCCGTCCCTGGCGGTGTTTAAGGCCAGGCTGGACAAGGCCTTGAGCAACCTGGTCTAGTTGAGAGGTGTCCCTGCCCATGGCAGTGAGGTTGGATTAGATGATCCCCAGGGCCCCTTCCAACCTAAGCCATTCTATGAAGCTATCGAGAAGTCTGCACTTTGGTCTTGACTTCATCATTTTAAGACAAGTGGTTTTGCAATGCTTCTGCACTTGTGTGGGACCAACATGAGTGTCTGCATTACTGAAAATTATCTGCTCCAACACTAACAGAGGAAAGAATTGGAGAAGCTTCACATAGGCAACATTTATTGCACTGAATCTGAAGATACATTTGATCTCTTGTACAGGTACATCTAAACTGTTCCCTTAGACCAATAATGGCCAGACAAGATCCTATCAAAACCTGATCTGATTCCAAATGTAATAGCTTTTGCTGAAGACAAGCATCTCCACAGAACTGGGGAAGGGGGAAGCCTGTGGAAAATTCATGCACAAAAGAAAAACACTGTCACAAAAAGTGACAAACCCCAATTCAAACCACGCATATCAAATAACTTCCTACAGACTTCTCCACCTAGCATGAAAGAATGAGTTAAGAGTCCATAAAAAGATGACAGTTTTAGCCCAAATCTCCTGAGAGCAAAGAGAAAGCCTGGGTTGCTATTTCTTTCACCAGCAGATTTTATATTCGTATACTTTATTTCACCAGTGGTCTCTTTCACCCAACCAGTCATACTGAGCTACCGAAACCTGACCAGTAAGAAAGCCTCCCTCCTCTGGGGAAGATGGTCACACACATATGCTGGTACTGAAGTTTTTAACCTTAGTTTATAGCTAAAGTTTAGCTTCAGTAGCTAGTTTTTCTTCCCCACCATGAACTGTAACTTTCATTCCTGGCATAAGTAAATGAAGTGTAAATAGTGCAACAAAAATAAATCAAGACAGTTAGGAAAACCTTAGATAAATGACAATTTCACTGTATTATGACTTAGAAGCTTTCCTAAACTGTGCAGATGGTTTGAAAAGACCTCCCCATCTCACCACAACTTCCGAGGTAGACACCAGTTGTTGTATTTCAGTTCTGTGAACTTTCTCACACAGTGTATGCAGTTTTAACTTTTCAAATAGCACCTACAGTAAGAAAAAACATGACAAATATTTCACTATTTCAAATGCTGAAACAGAGAAGAAAATTTGGTGCCTGAACTTAAGTCTAGAAAACAGATTTCAAGGAAAATATAGTATACTGTAGCAAAGAGAACTAGTACAGAATTGAAAAGATTGAATCATTATTTTTAAGCTACTGAGAAAGCAGTGTATTTACTAAAATCAAATGCATAATTTTTGTAAATACATTGAAATACAGATTAACCAACATTGTCATATTTATGAAAAAATAGTATCTCCTCTATTAAAGTTAGAAAATAAAATAATTCACATCATAGTAAAAGAATTCTGAAGTAAGGACAATTTGATATGCTTTAATTCTTCTGTATCAGTAACAATTTACAGGATACATAATAATATAAATATTACCTCTCTGAGTTGACTACTGCTGGTTAAAAGGAACTGTTCTCCAGCAACTCGATGAGCTTCCTGTTCAAGCTCTTTGAGTCGCAACTACAAATTAATACACCAGAATTTTTCTGTTACATTATTATTTTCTTCAAGGCTACTTCCCACATTAGCAAGTATATTGGGCTTCTGTTTAAAAATAGAGTACTTGATAATGTGTAATCATTGCTGGCTATTAACATTTGGTTTTGTAGATGGCCAATATGTTCTTTAATCTAAACTGTTTCATGACGTGACGGGGATTTACTGTAGTAAAAAGTACCAAAATTTCTGGGGACATAATTTTGGTTACTGAAGACTACAGAGATCTGTAAGAAACACAGCTATGCAAGTTATTGTGGTAAATTCATAATCTGTCAGACCACTATGATTACCTAGTCAGGTTTTATGCTACAAATCGGATTCTCTTGTAGCTCTTTTTATCAATAGGAAAATGGCAAACGTTGAACTCTCAGAACACCTAAGTTGTAAAGAGTGTTTTATTTACAAAGGGAGACAGAAATACCTATCACTTCTCAGGAAGATGGTTACTGGTAGCTGTAGCTTCACAAAAAGTTGTTACAATTTCTGCTCCAGAACACCACACAAAAGGACCTGTGCATTTCATAAAGAAAACTCCACTCTGGAGTAAGGCTAAAAAAGCAAATGCCTCTTTTTTGATTGCCTTAATAAACATGGAAGCATCCTAAAATGTAAATATAGTTATATTTATAATAATAAAAAACCTAGAAACCTCAAGCTGCCCTGTAAAATGTGACAAAACAAAAAGATTCCTCCTCCTTTCCATCAGTTACCCTCAGTAAAAGCAGAAAGATGATGTTATACAGTTTCCAAAAGATAAAAAAAAGACAATTTACCCCCAGAATCTCTGATGTTTTTTTCAGTTCTTGTTTGTTCACGTGTATTTTGTGTGTTTCCATCACTGTAGACACAATTACATAATGAGAGCTTACAACTGACAACTTCAATCTTTCATGCTTCTTAGCCTCTAAAATGGAAACTAAAATTCACACAGCTGTTATGGGGCTAAGTTAACATTTAGTATTCTTAGGTGTAACATTCTCCTTGAGCATAGTCAGCAGCTGTGTGAAAAAAGTGAAGATTCACATTTTCATTTGAACTTTCATACCTGCCAGAATTTTGATAAGTGGAAGCTCTAATGTACAAAATAATTTCCATAAACCTTGAACCTGTAGAGCAAGATATATAGAAACTCTTCAGTATCAGCCCATTTTAAACTTAAAACAGATAGCAGTGTCATTCCTTGGATCTATTTTCCAGTAAGCAGTATTTCACTTTCTGTGTAATCCCTTTTTATATGACAACATTGTTTGTGGAAAGAAACACTAGTGTGAATTATAGAGTCTAAATACTGTAGCCCATTATCACTTCATTTTGTGGGCTATAACAATACTTTTTGTAATAGTAATAATTCCATACAGGAATAGTAATAAAAAATAGACATGCCTCATTTTTTTTCAACAGTTTACTTTCAGAGCAAGCTCCATTATTATAGCACATACAATAATCCCTTTTTGTTTATTCACTTGAACAATTAAAGAACCATTCAGAATTCATAACTTTTAATTAGGAAGAAAATAGAAGACAATAGGGTTATGTACCCAATTTAGTTACAAAGCACAGGAAATCTGTTTTTACTCTAAGCACTGAAGCAATCAGACAGCAACACTTGTCTGAACATCTCCTGCAGGCTGGCTCTCAGTCACCCTGTGCCTTTGGCATTTCCCTTTTGCCTCTTAAACACAGACAAGCTTGGGGCACTGACCACGTCTCTAGAAAGTCTGTCCCAGTCTTTGGCTAATACAGTGCAGAATAAATGATATACTGAGAATTTTTGTACCCAAGGAATAGATAAAAACCTAGATGCACTCTGTTTTAATAGTTTTTAGACTATTTCATACACCTTTAAAATATCAAAAGTCACACTACTCTGAAAGAATTCCCATTCTTAGAATCTTAATTTTAATATTTAGTTAACTGTTACAGAAGAAAAGTTTCTTCTAAAGATAAACCTCGAGACTAACTCAAGTAGAGATTCTGATTTGCATGAGAAGACATCTTTAACTCTCTTTAATTCATGGTAATACCTTTGAAGTTATATCTGAGTAACTGCTTTTTATATCTCACCTGTAAGTCACGAGCAAGGTCCATCATTACATTATAAAGCTTCTCCAAGTTCACACCTAAATTCTGATACTGATAAGAAACAAAAATTTAATCAAATAGTTTTAATGCAAAAAAAATATTTAGAACACTATTTTAAAAGGAGTTAAAAATATATATTTTTCTGCATGTCTCCTGTTACATTTAACACTAAGGAATGTTCTTAAGACCTCTGACAAACAATTAATGACTAGAACAGTACAGGTCATGAATATTCAAGATGTTACCTGTTCCTTTATTTACATTTTGCAGAGAGTATGGGGAAATGGTATCACCAAGCTGCCTTTGAAGCCAGAATTCATTACTACTTAGAAAATCGCAAGGAATTTTTCCTCCTTTTACTTCTCCTATCAGTACTGCCACTCTTTCATGCATGTCCCGTACACTTCCTGGGCCACAAACCATAAAACCTAGGACAGCATTCCTGAGGACTAAAGTTATACACTTACCTGTCCAGGTACCCTTCCCAAGAATCACATACTGGTCTGTCTTGGAGGGAGGAAAATAGCTTATAGGGAATTAGGTATGATGTGTTATGATAATTCCTAGTTTAAGTTAAACAGGAAAATTAAACGCAGGGTTGTGTAAAAAGAGGCATTTACTCCGCGTGTATAAATATTCCTAAGATATGGCTGAAGTATTGGGGTAACCTTGCCACAATATTTTAAGACAGGCATTAAGAAATGTCAGATAGGCTCAAGAAGAGAATCAAAAATAATAGCAAGTTTAGAAAACAGTACCTACAGAGAAAGAGACCAATCAGGTCTGTTTAGTTTAGTAGAATAAGTTGAAAAAAAGAGAACATATTAGTTTTTATAAAGAGAATCATATCCCAATTCTATTCACATATGCTAGGTGTAGAACAAATGGCTTAATGGAATCTGCTTAATCTGCAGACCACAGAATTTTTTCTGACTAGCATCTAAGGGACAGTCCAGGTTTTGATTGCTTCAAAACTGTCTAACATTTTCTTGTTTATCTCTAGATTGCAGACTTCATTGCTGACCACATTTAAAAAATAAACTTATCGTTTTTTAAACCCATCTCCTCCTAGTTTCAAATGACTCACGGTACTGCAGGATTTGCCAAAGAGTACCACTGCATTCACTTTCCCCACTGACTTCATAACTACTTAAGGAACTGCCAGTATCTATATAACCTTCAGACTTCCCATCTGCATCTTGAATAACTATATTTTCCCACACTCTCCTTATAAAGCAGCTGTTCCACCCTCTGACCTTTTAGAAGCCTGCTGTGACTTTCTTGAAGCAGAGAGGTCAAAACTGCACCGTCTTCAAGACATGAGCATACCAATGTTTTCTACTGCAAACAAATCACTTCTCTTGTTCTCATCACCTTTCCTTATGGTGCCTGCCTTATCTTGATTTTTTGGCTGCTGCTACACATTGAACCAACATAAAACTGCCAAGAATGATCCCAAGATTTCTTTTGAAATTGAAACTACTCTGCATGCACTACTTCCACTTTATGCTAACTCAATTTATTGAGATCCTCTAGAGTTCCACCCCCTAAGTTCAGCATCTGACCATCCAATAAGATAGGCATGAGATTTATTTGGTATAAGGCATTACTAAAATAAGGGCAATTAAGACATCTAAGAAAGATTCTAGCACAGTTCTGGTTTTATATAATAAACAGAAAGGAAAGAAGATGAAAAAAAAAATCCCTGAAAGACTGACAAAAGAAGTGTGACAAGGAAAACCCTCACTAAAACCCCATAAGACTATGGAATTTTGAGCAAGTACAGAAGCCCAGAATGCAAGGTAATTATCCCAGACAGTGCAGTATTGTCTGCAGCTTCCTGTCCATGATAGTTTTGGGAAAAAAAATAAAAATAAAATCAATAGCAAGTAGAACAGTAGGATGTCCAAGCTTACTACTTTGACTACATAACTGGAATATACATCACATGGAGGACTCACTAGAGCAGAAATCAGTTTTGATGTCAGTATAATCCTAACCACTTCAGAAGATAATCCAGTAACACTCATTGTCTCTTCCTCAACAGTCACAGCCAATAGGTCAGTGCTGGAGACTGACCTAGGTTTTTGGTAAACAGGGTATTCCAAGATCATTCCTACTAAATGAATACAAATAGGCAGGGTTGAAAAAAAAAAAATCAAAATCTATTTCCCAAATGAATTACATCTTTCTGTCAAGAACTCTGGAAAAAAAAAAAAAGATATTTTAAGAAAAATCGATATATTGACAGGAAATCTAACAGCCATGAAATCCCATGGAAAGCTTCTCAATTGACAAATCACTGAAAGAGTTCCCTAGGCATCTTGCAAGCACTTCAGATTCACCATTCACCCTATGTGTATTTTAAAGGAATCCTAATTATTCTATGCTCACTTTATTACTTGTGTTACTATCTTGGAGCTGATGTAACACAAAGAGGGGTTCTCATGCTATGAGCTGCAGAAGTCTTTCCTCTACAGATGGGCAGCTCTCTTACAGGTTTCTTACCTTACTGCTCTCATTTAAATACTCACAGTTGGGAGAAAAAAAAAAATCTTCTCCAAAAGAAATATATTCTGTTTTCTCTACTGAAACTGCACTAGCAAGCATTTTCTGTACCAGAGTAAGCTCTCAAATTATGATCTGACTTGGTTGCCGTTTCATAGTTTTGTTTTTTTTTCTGATATATTCAGAAGTGTCCCTTTGGTCCTTCTGTGAGAAGGAGGAAAGAAAAGGACATTTTTACTTGTTATCAGATTTATACTCTAAGATAGAAGAGAAAATGAAGACAATGTTTCCATTTGAATGAAACATATAATATTAGTAAACAACAGAACTAAGGACCTATGATCCAGAAGAGTGTATGCAATGTAACTAGACGTGATATCACTCTACTTAATGGGATGTCATTAAGCTATCAATAATGGACTAAAACATTTTGCCACTTCAACTGTTTCTAAGGATATATTCTTAAGAACAGGGCTGATGTCAAAATCATCTTCCCCTCTCCTCGCTGTGTTTCTAGGGAGTGAGGGTAGGCATGGACTGAGACACCAGGACATTTGCAGACTTTATCCTGTGCCCTCACAGTGCAAGAGCTAACCATAAATCAAGAAGTAAACATAACCCATCCTCCAAATAGGGTATAAAAATTGCCTTATACACAAAACTCAGAGTTTTGGCCTGCTGTTTGTAAAACAGCCCCATTATTTGAAGAAAAACAGGAGTCTGGAACTAAAGCCTTACATCAGATGCAGACTGATAAGAGCAATGCTTCATTCATTATTTGATCTAAACAGAATGCAGAAGGAATCCAAACTGCTTGTTGCTGCACAAACACAACATAACCAGAAATGACTTAAAATTAGTTTATATTAGGACAAATTATAGCACATTGTTACAGAGGCATGCATTCTGGTACGCAGCTGGGGAAGAACCACCACAGGAACTTTATCATGTTGGTCTAACTAATTTTTAAGAAAAGTTCCAAGTGTAGCAAAAGGGTGGGAGACACCTATTAGACACAAGAAGTTATGTTTCATGGTAAAACTAGAATTATCCAAGTTTGGGAGTAAACTTTGCTGCAGAGACAGACCATAAAACAAAGGGGCACTAGTGTAACAGTCATTCAGAACACACTTAAGCCTAGACCATAGTGATTTTTATCTTGAAATGACCACATTACTTAAGATGGCAGCAGACAAAACGAAGCGGGTTCAGTGTAACCTGGTGTCTGTTGAAGGGAAGCATGTCCCAGCAAAGTCCCAGCAGCAGAAAAGAGTTAAAATGAGGCAATGAATTCCTCTGACAGCCTATGCAGGCTCCTCATCTGCTCAAGGGCTATTATTCTACACAATTTCAGCATTGCTTACATTGGTCATTTGTGAGTAGACCGTATGGACACCTGCTGTACAGGCTTCCTCTTAGCCCACAGCAGACTTGAACACTGCAAGACTAAGAAACAGAAGGCCCTTGAGGATAGGGTGCAGAGGGCTCTCTTCAAAGCTGAAACATCTATAGCCACTGGTAGTCATCCTTGTTTTACAACAGTCTAGCCCTGTCAGTGAGGATTCCCTACCATAGACAGATTTAAGCAGTCCAATACTCCAGCAAAAAGCCGTCGACCTGTCTCTAAGAAGCCACGACCCTACCCACTGGTTCTGGAAGAAATGAGCTGTGACATACTATGCTTTCAGCAACAGGCAGCTTACTTGATCCCATTCTGGAGGTGGAATTAACCCAAATGACAGGCTTCAGTCAACACCAAGATTCCTCATCAGCAAACACAGCAATGACAAGAGCAGTATGATGTTTAGCACCCGTTTCCACAAGCGTTTCAAGGTACATTGACTATGCCCTTTTTTACTGAGCCTTTTGGCACCGTATCAGATCCACAGAGAAGCAGCAAGTAGCACATGTTCTGTTCTAGAGAGGTGGGTGGGTGAGTATCAGGCTACAGAATAAAATAGCAGTCATATGCTGGGCACACAAGACCAGCAAAATACACAAGGAGCTTAACTGTAGTAGTTTGGCACAATTTGTGATATATCACCTGGCATGAATCCCTTTGGGAGTACAGACAACTGTTAGGAACCTTCTAGTAAAGTCAGAGCAAGCAGGCTGAAGAGAGAAACCTGGCAAAGAACTAGGAAGAAATGGGACTGACTGAGCAAACAGAAACCACAAAGAAAGTGGGAGAGTCCAGGGAACAAATTGCATAAGGAATAGGAGGGAACAATCACAGGATGTTAGAGGGAGGCATTAACTAGGACTTGGGTGAACATGTCAACATAAAGGCACTGGAGAAGGTTGAGGCAAGGAAACAAACCAGACCTGAAGTGGGGCAGGAAGGAAGGAAGGCTTCAATATATAACTCAGAGGTGGGAATCAGGATGACAAAGTTGAGAAAGGGTAACTAAGAATAGATGTGATATACGAAGCCCAAAATCTGAGTCAAGCTAAGGGAAGAGCCAAGATTAAGGATGCTGACTCACAGGAGGAGACATCACATGCAGAAATAACCAACAAGTTTATAGCTTCTGCCTG